ATCACTCGCACTCCAGAGGAAACCTCTACATATTCCCATCATTGTTGTGATTACCTTCTATGGTATGTATCGGAATTGCGCAAATGACCGACTTCACCAGCAGTAGTCGGACACTCTTTGGCATCGTACCACCTCTCCACTTTGGCAGGCTAGGTTACCCACGAGTCCCATAAGTTGTGTCGCGGTTTATCTCTTGATTTTTAGGGGGGGTCCAAGGTACTTGCAGGGGTAAGTGCCTACTGAGAAACCCAATACCTCCTCCACCCGCTGCATAGTTTGCTCATTGCATCTGATTGGCAGTGCTTCACTCTTGGCAAAATTGACTTTCAATCCTGAGGCTTCTCCAAACATGTGCAGGATCAATGCATAAGCTTGCAAATCCAAAATCATTTGGCTTAATGAAAAGCATGACATCATCCACAAACATTGATAGTCTTTGTTTCATGCCCGTGTTTGCTAGTGGTGCAAAGATTCCACGGGTCGTGGCTAAGTCCACCAGTGCAGCGACTCCATGGCTAAGATGAAAAGCATGGGGGATAGCAGAGCCCCTTGCCGCAAACCACAACAGTTGTAGATGGGTTGGACTGGCATCCCATTGACCATAATCCGAGTTGAAGAGTTACCTAATAGCCCACATATCCAAGCAATCCACCTTGGCCCAAAGCCCAATGCTTGCAAGACCACAAGAAGAAAGGCCCACTAGACCATGTCAAAAGCCTTGGTCATGTCGAGCTTGAGCATCACAGTTGCCTCCCAGAGAGCATGGAGTCTACGGGTCGTGCATTGCACCAACATGAAGTTATCATGTATGGATCTCCCTTTTACAAAGGCGCTTTGATGATTGCCCACGAGTTTAGGAAGTTCTACAGCCACTCTATTGGCCAACACTTTGTCAAAAATCTTGATTGCTTCGTAGACAAGGCTCACAGGCCTATAGTCCTTAATATTCATCGCTCCATCAATCTTAGGAAGAAGCGTGACGATCGCTTTGTTGATCACGGGCAAACCTTGCATATTAGCTCCGTAGAATAACTCAAAAGCCTGCATGATGTCTTCCTTTATAATATGCCGGCATACCGCATAGTTTGATGCTCATGTAGTTAACATTCATTCACATGTTAATGTAGTAAATTTTTGCGTGTTTTCATACAAATAGATGAGTGTCGAGCATAAAAGCACAGATCAAGTTGGTACGTACCATGAACTAAGTGCAGTACATGTTTTGCATCTGCTTATATTGAGATGTTACTCCCTCTCATATTGTTTAAACTAGATAACTCCCCGCGCGTTGCTGCGGAAAATATTGCCTACAATTGGTCCTTTACTCGACTGACTAACTCTCATAAAAGGATCATGAAAATAATGAATAAATGATTTTTCTTGGTCAACAATACTTTAAAATGATAGTACATTACTTATACCAATCAAAGTATCACAACTGACAACCAGTCAGATTAGAGGACTATATGGTAGTTTACACGCGGAAACCAAATAGTTTACGTCTTCAATACATGCCCACCATCTCCGCTTCTTCTGTAAGGAAAAAAACCCTTCTATCTATAACTGAAACATCACCACTTGTCTACATCCCCAAGTTTTAACCATGCCAATGTCCATGAGAACTCCCCTGTGCATTTACTTCGATCCATCCCTCGACATGAGGAAAAAAAATGTCAGATATTAAACACGAAAATAACGGAAGGGAAACTTCAGAATCAAGAAAAAAAGTTACATGTAAACATCAAGGGCCTTCTATTATTCAGAGAAGATGGATTCATCTTGCATTACTACTAATTAATATAAGAAGATGTGTTGAGAAACTAAGAAAAATTTGGTTGGCATATCATCAAATTAAACTTCTGCATTTTTGCAATTCATTGGACATTTTCAGCAATACACAATAGTAATATGTGCAATTGTGGTCCTAAAAAAGGAATGGAATAACATGAGTTTCGTCGACTGGATGTTATCATTGCTTTCCTCAATAGTTGACTGACATGGTTGATAAAATCAAGGGTTTTGCGCGAACACAATGATTTTGATCCATAGCATTTTGGCACACCTCGATTGATATATATTTTGGGATCTGGGGAGTTATGAAGTATCGTTTCTGCAGACCGCACTATAGATGTCAGGGAACACCTCAACACACCAGTGCTCTTATCTTGAGTTCCTGATCAAGCCGCCAACTACTACTACCGCTAGCAGCCGTGTGCTATATCGCCGTTCATTGGATGGCGAGAGTACTGCAGTAGAGAAATAGTTACATGTATTAGGAATTGAATTGACAGATAATTAGATGTGTGTGTGTGGCATGGTGCCCATCTGACCTGGGCCCTCCGTTCTCATACTTTTGCCAAAATGAAAGAAGGAACTACCACATTGTACCTCTTATTTATCACTCCCCCCGTCCTAAATTTTTGGCTTAGATTTGTCTAGATACGGATGTATCTAATACTAAAACGTGACTTGATACATCCGTATTTAGACAAATCTAAGACAAGAATTTTGGGATGGAGGGAGTAGATACTACATGTCAATCTCACCATTGATGTCAAACTGCAATAAATTTATTGAGGAAAACGAAATTCAGATCGTCCGTTCGCGAACAATATCAGTTGCAAGATTCCTCCCGTCGTCCCGATCTGTCGGAAAATTCAGAAAGTCAGTTAGACTCAACATACAAACCTAACTAATTGAACTTATCACCTGATAAGTGATCGGAGCAGGGCGTGCCATTGTGTACCTGCTTGTGTGCAGCGGCGGTGCGGCTAATCCAAATCCGATACCACGCAATCGAGGAGAGGAAGAAAACGACTCGACGACACCGGCGAGCGAAGAGGAGAGTTGGTGAAGTTAGGAAGGCGACGATGGGATGAGAGGGGACAGATGGGAGATGTATATGAAGGAAAGGCAAGACAATGCACCATGAAGGGTTAACTGCAGCAGTTACCACGTGCATGCGTTTGTTGCATGCACAGGATTTCAAGCGTTACATAGTTCTCTTATTTACTTATTAGCAGATTTCTCTATCTCAAACGGCGCACGTACAGGGGGAAGCCCAAGGAACCTATAAAATGAACGACGCTTCCTGTCCCGCTGGAGTACTTCTGATAATTATTCCACAAAATAAATTATGACGTGGATGCATGGAAGTACTATGCATGCTAAGAATTGATGATGTGGCAACACTGCTGAGGTGGATAGCTTGCATGTTAAGAGAAATAGAATAGTAGGGATGAACTATTTAGGTATTATAGATATAGGTATGTGAAGGTATCCGCAAACTCGTGCAACTACTAGCAAATTGAGCGACCGGGAAAAAGAAACCAGACGAAGCGGTAGGGAGATGCTTACACACCGAACTTGCAACAGAGACATGCTTGGTGCATGCCAAGAATGCATCTCCCAATCCCCAATGTTGAATAGGAGGCATTGTGTAAATATAGGTCAAAGAAGTGGCAAATGAGAACACTGTGATCATTGAACTTGTTTGACGTGGTTTGGTTGAAATGTTGTGAAGCTTGCTGCAAATCAGACTTGGTGTGAGTTTGTATTTGCAAATTGAATTTTGAGATGATTGATCGGAAGGAAATGTTATGTCCTGAAGACTCGGTAGGAATTATACAGTTTTTTTTATTTTTAAAATTGAATATTATACAGTTTTGCTAGGAAAGAGATAGCGATATCCTGCATCGGACGGTTACAGAGCAATCTGCGACAAAGGGCATCGGCACCGTTTCACTGCACGTATAAGATGTTTTAAATATTTTAATATGGACTAAATACAGACTGAAGTGAGTGAACAAAGATGCTCAAACATGTCTTATATACATCCGATTTAGAGAATTTTTTGAAACATTTAAAATTGATCTATTTGAAGTTGGAGCATGAGGAGCACCCCAAGGATGGGAGTACTAGATATTTCCCCAAAAGGATGGGAGTACTAGAGAAAAGTTAGAACATCTTATATTTGTGAACAGAGATTAGCAAGTACTCAATATAAGGTGTATTATTTTTCCAAAAAGTCAAACTTCTCTAAGTTTGACCAAGTTTATAGACAAAAATATCAATATCTAGAATACCAAATCATTATCACTAGATCCATCATGAACTAAATTTTTACATTTTATATATTTAGTATTATAAATCTTTATATATTTTGCTATAAACTTGGTCAAACATAGACAACAGTTGACTTTTTAAAAAACTAATACACCTTATATTTAGGAACGGAGGGACGGAGGGAGTACTTTGCAGCGGGCAGATCACCGGTGTCACTATCAGGTTTTGCAAGTTTCCAACAAAGCACCATAATATCGAGCTTTGCACACGTAAATACAGATTTGTAAAAAAAAGATCTGAAATGATAGGTATTATGCAACGTGATGGTTGCAAAATCGCAACCCATGCCAGAGAAGGTGGTGGTTTTTCAGACATGCACTTTTTTAAAAACCAAAATGACAATTTTCTTTTTACGTTAGTTTCAAAGCACATGCAGTGAGATAGTGCAGATCATAGGTCGTTGCCGTGTCCATAATGTGTCATTGCGGTTGCCCTCCAAAGTCCCTAGATATATCAGCTAGACCCTCGCAAACCAAAAAAAAAAAGGAGATAGCAGCTAGACACATAGGAATTGAGATGTTTGATCAGAAATTAATGTATTTGTTATAAAATGTGCTTGGATGGAGGCCTGCTGAATAATTACGTGCATATGTGATTATACAAATTGAGAAACCTTCTCCAGTATCAATCATTAGCGTTAACACTCAAACAAAAATGTAGAGCATGCAAAAGAAAAAAGAACCTTTAAAGCCAAAATGTGCTGTACATCAAGGTGTCAAAAATGGATTTCTTAAGCCAAAATGTAATGTGCTTCTTTTCAATGTAGTCCATTTATGTACTGATCTGCTGTGCTACTCTGAGGTGACCATTTCTGTCGAGATTTGCTTTACTGACAATCAGAATTGGCATTCTGAGGGCAACGCTGACTACTATGTTTATGTGGAAACTGTTGACTGCAGAAAAGTAAGCCGGTTCTTAGTAAGGGAGATCTTCTCCTCTGCCTCGGATGCCTTCTCACGAACTCCACGAACAATGTTTTCCGGGGCCTTCTCTGCAAACTGCACCACAAATGAAACGCGTGACCAACAGGATGCAGGAACCTCTTCCGAAAACTTGCCCACATAAAGGAGAAGAAATATTCCACGTACGCTCGGGGAACTGAGGCGGGCCAACAAAGTGTCATACTCTGTCTGTAACTTAGAGAGGCGCTTAGAGAGCCGCTCAACTTCCGCTGACACATCAACCATGTCCGCCAAAGGTAGGTATGCCTCCAGACCCTCATCAGCAACAATGTGGACACACTGATTTGCATCACCTGGCGAGCATCAAATAGATTTGCTTATTGGCAAACTGCATCAACCAAGATAACGAGTTTACAAGGCACTCACCCGGTAGTGATTCAGTCAAATTTATGTTCTGTGCGTCAAGCTTTGACAGCAAAGCAAGCACCTGCTTCTCTTTCTGCGGCATAGAAATACAAGTCAGATGATGGGGGGGACACCATAGTATACAGGAAAGTTGCAGCAATCATAGATACCATCGCACCAATCACATATAGGTAACTCTACTTCTAATCTTTCTAGGAGCCGTGCCTCTCAAGTTCTAACAGTGAAGCTTTCCAAGTTAAATACACTATTCCTTGGCAACTTTGATTTCAATTATTTGAGTACAAAACATGCTAGGCTTCTCAAATTGCTGGATCAAAAGACTCATAATATACGTACAATGAAATGTCACAAACAGAATGGACTTGCTGTGAGAAGACACCTACCGATATGTACTCCAGGACATCCGCAGTGGCAACAACAGAAGCTGATATCCGTTTAGCTGGCTCGACAGAATACTCTGCTCGGACATTTCTGATTCCTCTTATCTGTTATTATACTGGTGATCAAACAAAATGGTCGCCGGCAGGCCACATATAAAATGAGCACATACAGCTCAAGGGGAAATTTACCAACGATTGCAAATTTTGAAATCTTTTGATGGACAACAAGTTCTTTGGGAGGTCAGTGCTAGGCCAGGGAGCAACTATAAGTGCATCCTTTCTGTACGGCAATGCCTGAAAATAATTATATGTACTGATGAGGCTGATGAAAGTGGGAGTTAAACAATGCTGTATAATAGTAATGGGCGTCAAGGTTTTTGTACCTGCCATAATTCTTCAGTGACGAAGGGCATGAATGGATGCAGTAGCTTCAGTATGTTTTCAAACACATACAAGAGAACACTTTGTGCCATAATAGTAGCTGAACCATCACCAGAGTGGTAGAGACGAGTCTTACTAGATTCAATATACCTGAATTACAATAAATTTGAGAAAATATGTAAGTCTACTACTCCCTCTGATCCAAAATAAGCGTCGCAGTTTTGAACTAAGGTTAGTTCAACCTTAGCTCACAACTGCGACACTTATTTTGGGTCTGAGGGAGTAGAAAGCATGCACCATAACGGTGCAACGGTAGAGTGCATATTGGAATATAGAATCAGGCGACAGCTTGGTGTGTGTGTGTGTGTGTGTGTGTGCGCTCCCATAAAGAAGTTGTACTTCCCGTTATTTGGTTCTTCGCAAACTTACCAATCAGCAAAATGGCTCCAAAAGAAATCGTAGATTTCTCTAGCTGCATCTCCAAAGTAAAACTTTTCATAGCTTATGCTGACTTTATCGATAAGTTCATGTAGTCCTGTAACCTGAATTTTTGTTTGTTCTCTTAATTAGCATACTTCACAAAAGGCCAACAATTCAAAAGAAAAAATAATGGACTCACCACCCAGCCTTCTGGCAATGGTAGTTGCTGAAGCGCTGCTTCTGTGTCAAACTAAAAAGGAGATGCAAATGTATTCGCAACAATTATATAAAGGAGAATGAAATTTAATCAATGCATCATCTGCAATTTGGAATTCAGCGAGATACCTTGTTTGCTAATAAGATATCCCATGCAGTAGCATCACTTCTTTCAGGCAAATTCTGCAACAAAAATTTGCCTGCATTCCAGAGTTTGTTGGTGAAAGCCTTATTTGATGTCAACCTTTCTGTAGAAAGATTAATGTCCTGAAGTAAAAAGGTGTATTAACAACGGAGAAGTGAACAAGCTTGATCAACAAAATGCAGAAGACCATGGAAAAGCAAACCTGGCCGGCAGTGCCCATGCAAAGTGTAAATCTCAATGCATCTGTCCCGTACTCGTTCATGGTATCTAGGGGGTCAATAACATTCCCCAGTGACTTTGACATTTTCCGCCCCTGAAGATCTTGCTGATTAGTCTGTGGAACTGAGAGCTAATGTAGCAACATAAACAACTCAGACGGACGAAGGAATGACACATGTCTAATAGACTTCATAGTGGACTAGTGGCCCACCCACCCATCCATCGGTTTAACTGCAGTATGTAGACTTACAAGTTTATCAGGGTAAGGGAGGCACTGTCAGGTGTAGATCGAGAGAGGACCTACCAGGCAGCTACTCGATCTGGTCTGAAGCGGCGCTCTCACACAGACATCGTCATGCGCTCCCCTCAGCTAGGACCACCACT